GATCGTAAAATTTTTATCAATGTTTTTTTTAACGTAACCTCTGTCGTTGTGCTGTGGAAGGTACTAAAAAAAGTTTCAACGAAAAAGTTACTTTGAATTTGAAAAACATAATTCAAAGGAATGTTAGAATACGTTGCAATGGATATACATACTTTGGTATTTTTTCGTCGTTTGATTTAGTCGTAAAAAATTGATCGAATAAAACAAAAAAAAAGGAAAAGGGTAGGAATAACGACGATTCTTGACTATTTCTCTTGTTCCGTATATTCCTCCGCGTTATTCGGAAACACGTAGGCGCATATTCATGAGAAATACCGATTGGAATGATCCCAGCAGCGCGTTGTTTCACGGCTCTGAATCAACGAGGAGAGTGAAAGAGGCGAGGGAGTTAGGTGTACGGCGGCGACCATAAAGCAAGATTAATGAGGCGAAATACACTCCGGTGTAGGAAGCTACCACAGTGTTGGCGCCAGCTGACCGTCCGGCCTGCACGGATATACTCACCAAATGGATTTACACAGACGTGTCCGTAAAAACAAAACGTTATGCGGATTCCTCTTTTTCTATTATTTTTCCTTATGAGTCTTAAATACCAACTTTGACATGGTCAGCCGGATAAAGAAAAACAAAAAACAGTGAGGTGTAGTTTTTTTGAAAGCATACTTGCACACACGCATAATCGTCGTATTTTATATTTTACAATTGTTAAGAACTAAGAAAGAAACATCTTATAATTAACGTAGTAAGACAAATTAATGAATTTTCTCAAGTTCAAAGATAACATTGTTCTCTTTCTTCCTTCCTTCCTACCTTCCTTCCTTTCCAATTCATTTCGTAGAAAAAACATCCATAGAAAAAAAGGTGGATCCAATTTAAGGTAAGCGATCCTCCCTTTCGGTACGATCTTCCATTCTCAAACAAAAGCACCAGTCTATCCCTTAAAACAATGGTCAATGTCGAAACGACCGCCTTGTATTTTGCTCGACCATAAAACAATCCCCCAGCACGTTTTCGGTTCCCGTCAGGAAAGTAGAACCAGCCACACTACTACGATCCCGTAGAATCTGGTTCCTAGCCAGAATCCTGGAAACTCGAAGGGAGTCCTCTTTGGAGTCTGCACTCACCACCCAACCGCAGTACCGCAGAGTGCGTGTTCCTCGAAGTACATGTCATTCTGGCAACGTTTCGAGAACCAATCTTGCGTTACCATTCTCTTACCTTTTTTTCTTCTCTTCACTCTATTTCTAAAAACAACATTCTCATTCAATTATCTTGGAGAAATCTCTCTCTAATCGCTCGGTTTTCAAGATATTAACAAAATTAACATAAAATAAAGTATTTGTTATGTTTCATTCCACGTTCCTGTCGTTATTAATTGCTAAACTATTAATTATCAATATTATATTATTACCATGTACATTATCATGATTAATGTTAAATTAATAAGTTGTTCTTTTAGATATTAATTAATGACAATTATTCTTATTGTTTCTGTATAATACAATAATTTATTTATATTTGGGTTGGCAACTAAGTTATTGCAGATTTAAAATAACCGTGCTCAGTTAGTTGCCAAGACAATATTATTAATTACAAGTTAATAATTGGATAATTAATAAAAGTAACAAAAATTGTATTAGATAACTGAACATCATTGGCAAACATGGGAGAAAATATCATACAACAAAAAGAAGATTGAGTGAGTAAGACAGAATGAAGGAGAAGGAGAAGGATCAAGATCAAAGGAGCAACAGCTGCCACGATGAAGTAGCGAGAATCGATGTGACGATAAATCGCGATAAATCGTAGCGCCAGGGCGATGATCGATCATCGAACTTGATACAGAGAGAGAGAGAGAGAGAAAGAGAGAGAGAGAGAGCAAGGGGAAAGCGACCGGAATCGATATCCTTCCGCGTTCTCTTCCCATGGCTACCTACCTACAGAGAATCGACAGAGAATCCGCCGCCGTCTCGTATCGAGGAACGTCGTTCAGGACACCTGTCCCCAACGTTTATCCCACGTTAAGTACATAACCAGTTTCGCGACGTAGGCACGAAACCCGGTACCAATTCGTTCGAGTATATGACCGCGGCCTGCCTCTCTCGTACGAATTCGCGCGTACACACGTACACGCATGCACGCATACATATTCTCTCTCATAACACACGCTTGAACACTCGAGCTATCGTACACGCCCAACCAGGGACGGCATACTGGACTCGAATGTCCAGTCTTTTTTCATTCCATTTGAACCATTCAATTATTTTTTTTTAATCGAGAATTATAGTAATATTTGAAGAAAATTTCTTTTACTCCGGCAAATATTAGGATTTTGTGATAAATAACGAATTAGGTAAACATTCAATTGTAATAGTAAATTCAAGTTTGTACGATTGTATTGTAGTTGAAATATATATATATATATATATATATATATATATATAAGCGAATTAATTGATTACTCTTCGAAGATGTATATACATTTAATGAGTTTATTTGGATGGGTTTTAAAATGATAGGTGTAAAAACGGAGGAGTGCATTCAGATCAATCCGTACCTGCAACCGCAGGCATTCGTACGAACACACACACACACACACATGCATGCGAATGCACGTATACTAAGCACGAAAGAGAGACACATGGAGAAAGACGGTGGAAAGCAGAGAGAGAGAGAGAGAAAGAGATAGTGAAACTCACACACAACACACGAGAAGACAGGGCTAACGCCCGTAGAGGAGAACACACGATTGCGAGAAACACACAGAGAGAGAGAGAGAGAAAGAGAGAAATGTCGGACGGACCACGAGAGAGGATGAATTAGGTGCCGTCCCAACCGAACGAACACACAAACGCGAATGCGAATGGCAAATGGCGGGTGACAAGGCATCGGCATCTGCGCTTAATTAATGCAGCACCGGCAACGACGACTACGACGATACGGGAGGAGCCATGAGAATGCTGAAACCGATGCTGAAACCGATATGCTGAAACCGATTACCGAAACATCTTTCCGTCTCTCTCGTTTCAATGATTCACGTTTATCCCTACGTCTGAATCGAGTGTTACATTATAATATTATTGATGTTATCAACTTTCAAAATTACTGAGAGAGAAAAAGAAAAAATCAATAATCAGACACCTAACGGAGTCGTCTTTTCTAAATAATAAAAGAAAAGAAAAAGAAAGATAGAAAGAAATACAAAATGTTGAGCATTTAACAAATTATAGGGTCGATTATATTCGTACACACTTTATTCTAAAATGAAAATAAACTGAACAACCACGTTGATAATCGAACTTGACGATACATTTCCACACGAACTTATGTGGGAAAAAGCTTAAAAGTATTTCCTAAAAACTTCATCAGTGTTGTTCACTCAGATCAATGTTAAAGATCGTCGATATTTATCCCTGTGATTCTTCTTTCACTTTCTCGTAGCTGTTTCCTTGTGTACGTGTGTGTGTGTGTTTAGTACACATATAGTATAAGAGAGAGAAAGAAAGAAAGAAAGAAAGAAATTCTGTATATAAGATGCGACAGTGCGGCGCCAGGGTCTCGCATACGAGAACCAGGAATTATATCTTGAGTTCTCTCTTTCGCGAAGAGAAGAGAAGAGAAAAGAAGAGAAGAGAAGAGACGCGTGTACAGGGTGTTTGAGAAACGTCCGACGTACGTCCATGGACAGCTTCTCCGGAATAAAAATGAGCCCAGGGCTCGGCACTCTCGACTCGGATCCTTCCTTTGGACCACACAAAACGAACCGGCGCACTCGTTCCTTGTTCGTCCCCATTAAACCTTATTCGAGGGGTAAGGAAAGTAGTACCAGTAGGAGAAGAGAACCTCCATATTCGGGGATCCGGTCCCCTTTTCTTCTTTCCTCTTCGTCTCTTTTCAAAGTCAAACCTAACACAAGTTTCCTCTTGGACCTTTTTCCCAAAGATACCTAATTGTAAGTACCTTTTCTAAACGTGACTACGAGGATCGGAATGTGAGATTGATCATTGAAAAATGTTTAGCGATAATTGGTCCGTCCGTATAAACGTGTAGGAATATAGGACTCTACAAACAAAAATCAATTTCTATTTTTTTCGATACAATTTTGTATAACATTATAACATGTCATCGAATCGATTCCTTGTTTTATCATTGTCGTAATATGACTCCGAAGGATTATTGATACAGCAATTTTCGTTGCAACAATTATTCATTTATCCCCCCCTCTTTATTGGACGGATATTTTTGATAAAATTTTCACGTATCTCATCGATTCCCTTGTTCTACTATATAGTTCGTCATGAAGATATAATATATATAATATATATATATATATATATATATCTTCGTCATCTCTAATTAATCGTGTTAATATGCATCTCGCTGAGCCATCTCGCAACACCGTGGACGAAATATCCAGGAACAGTTTAGAATACATATTAGATTCGCATCGGTCGCGATGTATGCACAAATTACAATTCTCATTACGCGATGCGTAATGCCGAATCGACGAGATTCGTGTTCCATTCTACGATCGCGTGTACGGGGATCCAATAGAGGCATGAAATTACTACCCCCGGAATGCGTGTAAGCTCGAAAACGCACGTGGTCCACGCATCAATCCATACACGCATACCGCATGCGAATAATGCGAGAACGCACATGCAAAGCGTCCTACTACCTGCCAACGAAATATCAAAGATTAACTATTTAATCTATCTTTAATCACCGCGAAATTATCGTCATAATTATACAAATACCTACGTGCTAATTTTGTTTCAACTATTTCTTTTAAAAAGATGCCACGAATTTTCTCTTCATTTAGGTGACAGTGATTAATGCAAATGCAATACGTGTAATAGCCAAACTTTTTGATTAGTAATGCATATACATACATAAATACATAGATTACATATATCGATCTAGGAAGAAACCCGATGACACTTTAAGAAGATATACAAGTAATATCATTTGCAAATAAGATTCATTGTGCGAACAAACGAGAGAGGCTTCGCGCGTGGCGTCTTTTCCGTGCCAATGTCCCCCACCCCCCTCTTCCACCCTTCCTTCCCTCTCTATCTTTCTCTCTTTTTCACTGTTTCACTTCTCATCCAAGTCCATGTACGGCTACTTGCTGTATAATTCATTGTCGAGTCTCATACACGTAGCGTCTTATGGCAGATACACAATTACGTGCTCTGGCCCTGGTAACGTTAAAACGAGAGAAGGATAACGACGACGACGACGACGACGACGAACACATAGCACGATGCGTTTTCCTTCAAGACAATGTTGCTGCACACGCTGTCTTACCTTGGCGTAACTAGTTTTTATCACCGATGACGAACAATGACGCGCTTATCTTGTACTATTGTATTCACCGTAAAACACCGTACGTCTCTCTACCCCGGAATATACATATTCAAAAAAGTACACCAGAGGATAGTTTAAACTTGTCTCGTTTGAATTATTCTCCTCGATGTTGAATCGTTTTCAAGTCTCCGTTCACGTAAGTAAGTCCAAAGAAAATATTTTAAAACGATCGTATAATTTTCTAATCTTATTTGTTGATGAGATAGAATTAATTTCGTTGAATTTTTTCTAATCGAGGCATTATCTTTACGGCATTCACGTAATGGAATACGTAGTCGAATTATTGTAATCGTTAATTGTGTTCCAGCGTTGACCAAAATAAATGAGGACTTTCACTTGACAAAAGAATAAATCTTATCGATTATTGGGACGATGAAGAAGGTAACGTTGATAACCGTGTGCAAAGGGAACACTCGGAGGTGCGCTTTATCTGGCTGGCAACATGTAATTAGGTGATTATATCGAACCACCGTTTTCGTTACGCCATTTACTTCCAACAAGGTAGCGTCGATTAAACGAAAGGAGCCAACTCGTAGTAGGGACGTTAATGTCGGAGTAATTCGAATTTATGCCTCGATCGTTTTGTTTTTTAATAATCCCACTCGTTGATGCTAATTAACGCGTTTATATTGTCCGACTATCGCGATAACTACTGGCTTCGATTTCTTTGCTGACGTTTCTTTTTCCTCAAGATAACATATAAACTATTAATCACTGAGATTAAATGAAATATCAAACGTTTCATTTAAAAAACTATTCTTATTTTAAATCGCGTTTACTAAGCAAAATGTTTAACACTACTTTTAGAACTTTTCTTTTAATCTTTCCAATTTAATCTGTTGATTGTTATATTATTTGTTCTATTTAAAATAAATATTTGTTTAATATAATAATTAAGTTGATACCAATAATAAATGAGACTAAATTGTTATGGCCATTTGAATAATATAAATGATGATATAACAATATATAATATATAACTTCGTTAATTTTATTTGTTTTTTATTTTCTATAGAGTTTTAATCGATTTGGCAAATGAACTACTCATTTGTACTTGTCTTTGTTTTACAAATGTTTCACCAGCTGCCATCCGGATTTAGACGCGTCTCTTTTTAGCTGACCGATGATCGTTGCTCTCTTCGTAAATCGTAACAGAATCTAATCGATACGATTATTGTAGAAGACAACAAAAAATTATGAGAAAAAATTATGAATATGATACATCTTATCTATTATTTTCAAATCATTAGTCGCGATGAAATAAATGTATTTAGATGTTTATCGATAGCAAATTGCTGCCGTTGCTCTCGATTTTGCTCGTAAAATGTCCGAGAGAGTATTTGTAAGTGATTCTATTGTTCTGTTAAGAGAAGACGAATTATACGAGGTGTTGGATTCTCCTTGGCTGTCATCAAAAGAGAAATGAACGGACCGCTGAACAGGTGCAACTGTTCACATTGAAACAAGTTTCTCTGAACTTCTCTTCTTCTTGGTTTATATAGCAAGATTATTTCCTGTAAACTATGCAACTATATTTCTTTTCGCTTCTATTTATTTAATCAATATTTTTAATAATAAATAATCAGTATATATGATTCTTCTATTCCGTATATTTATAAATAATTAAGTATTAGTATTTAATTGCATTTTATCAATAGAATATTATTTTTTTTGTGTTTATGTTATTAATTATTGAATTGAATATATTTCAATCGACAATCGACAACAATTTATATTTCGTTAATAATTTCTTTTACATAAAAATTATGGTTGCCTATCACAGGGGTTCGAAAAGTTAGCTACCGATAAAATAGATCATCAACGTTATCAACAAAGCAAATAACTTATCGACAGATTCAAAAATGTATGTCGATAAGACAGTTTCATTAATGTAGTTTCAACTTTTGCCACTAGTAGCGCTACAATTTATTCTAAAAGGGAAAGCATGGTTAGAAATAATATTTTGATCATTGTATTGTGTTTGATTGGAATTTTTGTAAACAGTAACAGTTAAAAGTAATCGTTAATTATATCAATTAATATTTCTTCTAAAGAAATATTGTTTCAAAAAACGAAAGAGAAATTCAGATCCACACAATCTAAAATTCTGTAAAATGTGTAAGTAAAATAATTAATAAGAAATAAAATAACCATAATTATAAAATAAAATGTTATTTTGTAGACTCTAGATTACGTGGTAAAAAGAGAAGAAATGTTAATAAGTATATTAGTGAAGATGAAGAAACTGAGGATGATGAGAATGATAAAAATATAAATAAACGTACGAATAGTGATACTCGGAGATACTTGTCACAGAATAGTGGCACAAAACTAATGAAAAAAAATGCTACAATAATTGAGCGCAATGCATTTTCTCAAGGAAGTTCAAGCGATCATTCTGAAAGATTGTCCAACGAAAAGATGAAAAACGTAGGATCCAGAAACGTAAATGTACAAGAAGAATTAGATTTAGCTGGAAGAGTTATACGATATATATTTACTGTGGAAAAGAAAAAGACCGCTATAACAAAAGTACAAATTATTAAAAATGTTCTTGAAGGAAATACAAGGAACTTTGTTCAAATTATGAAAAGAGTTAAGTTGCTCTTATCGCAGGTATATTTTGAGCTTCCTATATGTATTTTTATACTTTCGTACATTATATTCTAAACAATATTACATACATTATTTAAAAGATATTCGGATACCAACTGGTAGATATAAATAACAGTAAATACATCATGGTAAATGAGATCAACAACAGCATACCGCATTTGAATTTTAACAAACCTACTAAAGCTGAACAAGTTCTTTTATTTATAATACTTTGTCATATCTTTATGTACGAAGATGTATGCACAGAAGGTTAATAATATTAATTACTATTAGATTTACCTTATTTTTGTGCTTTAAAGTTTGATAAAATATTTACTTAAGCTTGAACATTGCAGAGAACTTGTTTGATTTTTTAACACACTTGAAAATTATAAAGGAAGATAATTTTCAGCATCATTATTTTGGAGATGTTAAGAAACTAATTACTATGGTAAAACAAGTTATATATATTTAATTACAGACAGAGTTTATTAATCCACAATATTAACAATGAAAAAATATTTTATTCAGGATTTTGTAGCGCAACAGTACCTTGAGAAAACAGTATTATATAAAGGAGATTGGCAAAAATATGAATACAAATGGGGACTTCGTGCAGAACATGAAATATCTTATCGTAGTATCTTAGAATTTGTATCAAAGGTATTGACATAGCAAAGTTTCTATATCATTACTATTATATATACAATTGTAATCATATTAAATCAATATTAATGTACTTTTAGGTATATGGGGAAAGGCCGATAAATAGTTGGCCATTACAATACAAAACTATGTTAGTGAAAGAACAATCTAATAAAACCTAAATTTAATCCAAAATTTTTGATTATAAAAAAATGTTTATGTTTTGTAATAAAAATATTTAAATATTAATAGCATAAATTTGAATAGCATTTTAGTATTTTATTTATACGTAAGAAGAAAGAAAAAAAGAGATTATTTGTAGAATCGAATTACCTTCATTATTTGATCTTAAAGATTCTCTTCATCAGGATTTTTAAGAGATCAACAAATATACGCTGTTTCCAAGCAGCCGTAAAAATGTAAAGTAAGATTAAAGTCCCCATATGGTCTTCAAGTTCAACGTGGAGGTTAAAGGAATCCGAAATATGCATAACATTTCAAACAAATATGTATAATTGGATTTCTATTTCCTATCGCGCGCGCGCGCGTTCACACGCACACATACACACAGAGGAATACTTAAAAAGGTTTATTTCCAAATGATATTAACAGAAAATATAACATTCTTTTCAATCCTCGGTCGAATTTCATTACATTACAGCATAATTATACATACATATACACACATATAGAAAAGCAAACGCAACAGGATGGGGATCTGTAATCAACTCTACGAATATCCTACATTCCTGATAACAAATTTTCAAACTACGCAAGAGTAGAACAAATCCGCAAAGCAATAATACTAAATTTACGTATGTAACATTTTTATATTAACAAAAAAATAATAAACAATTTCAGAAAGATTTTACAGGATCAGTAATAATAACATTACTCTAATCATTCCTCTTGATTATTACCTACAATCATTCGATTATCGCAACTCTTAAATGATCAGTAATATTGTGATTATGATAAACTAATGTAATTTGAATAATAGTCATGTAAATCTGCTTAAAAGGTGAGATGTTTATCTGGAAAATAGAAGAATAGAAGATAATCTCTTTATTCGGTTAAATATCCGTGGTAGCGAAGCCCCAAACGTTATCATCCATACGTTACCCTCCGATCTCTGTTGGCGCGAGCGCAGCAAGCGAGGGAAAAAGTAAGTAAGTAGTACTTGTCCTGGCAAATCTGTGTCAGGCTGGGGTGGTGCAAGCTCCCACTGTGGCGGTGCAAGCTCGCACTGCTTGGCTTGGGCGCTCAGTGCCCGTCCATCCTCGCTACCCGGTAACATTGCACGAGTGCTTCTCCTGCTGACGAGTGCAACCGGTGCATTCGCACGGTATCATCATCTCATCCTCGATGCACCAACTTGGTTCTCGCATTTGGAGGAACGTTGCTCGGACGAACGTTGTTCGTCAATAACGGGGTTGCCGAGGGCCAACACAAATATGATCCGTCCTCAATAAAACGAATTAAATTTTATTCCACAAAAGAGGCCTCCAACGCTAGAATACATCGGCTATATATATATATATCTATATATGTACGTATGAAATTAGAAGATTCAGGTAAAACACAAAAAAAGAAACAAACAAAAATGCAAACAACATTTTCTTTACGTTTAAATGAAAAATAACGCGAGTGAAATGTTCCCGAAATTAAAAGAACGAAACAAATATGGTGAAATTGATAATGTTCTAGTATTAATCTTGGGACCAAGGACGTCGATCCATTAATCCAAGAAAATCGAGGAATCCCGAAGATGTTTAATCTTTATCAAAGCTTGAATAAAAAGGATGAGGGTGAGAGCCATCGTGAATCGGATGTCACCGGACATGATAGATTCTGGCAGGAGAGACCAAGGACGCGTCGGAAACGACGTGCCGTTAATCGCAGAACTCAAAGTGCCATTGAGCTTGATTCCGAAGCTATGGTATCTGCCCGTGGTGTCCTTAGACGTGGAAGAAGCGCAAGCATCGAGGACGACGAAAGCGAAGAGGAAAAGGGCTATCAATTGACCAACAAAATCGACAACTTAGCCAAAATTTTATTCAATCGTGTCTCTGCCGCGCGAGGATGCAGAGATCAAAATGAAATCAGGTGAATGAACTTTTTGCAAATCTTTTTTATTTTTTTTTATGTCGTTCTTGTAACACATCCAATTCCCTACTTGCACGATCGCGATTTCGTTTTTCTTTTTTTTTTTAACGAAAACTTTAGAGAAAGATAAATTCCATTTCATTTTTACACCCGCGCGATTTTCATTTAATATTATTTATTTCTAATTTATCGTACTATATCACGCGCGTTAATAAATAAACTAATTATTTTTCTTACGTAATAAATTGATCAAAAATGCATATACAAATTACCGATAAGTGGAACATAAATGTAAATATTTTTATTTTATCATCTCTTTCGATAAAAAAATCGATGATCCTTTAAAACACGTGGGAACTAGCAGATGTATGATGTATGTATGTATATTAGCATATGATAAAAGTGTGATCACTTTTATCTATCCGCTTAAACTTTAGCCTATTATTTGTACATACAGTACCGACCAAAAATATTGAAAGAAACTAACATTTTTTTGTAGTATCCTTAATAAATTTATAAAAAAATAAAATCATAATTTAAACCGTGGATAAATTGTAAATGTATGATAAAAAATATATCTTTTTTTACAATTAAAAATATGTTTCTAGTAAAAACGGTCTCCCTTGTGCATTTTTTGTTACATTTTTTTGTTAAATTGAATTTCTATGGCTTACTATATGGTTAAAACTTTAAACTCGGTAGATATATTTAAGAAGAAAAAAAAATAAAATAAGAAAAATATATACTTTTTAGAAATTTACAGAAAAATGTATTCCAATGTGCCAATACTTTTGTTCGGCACTGTATGCGCTATTTTATGCCATTAATATTTAAGTGCACTTATACATACATATATATACATGTAATTTAATTTTATCATATCATTTATTTTTCAATATTCCAGTATTTAATACATATATTTTTCTACAAAATTTATCATATCTCAAAATCCCCCTGTTGAGAGACGATCGATAACTAACGAAGATCGCATATTGGTTGTTGAATAGGCAACCTGGCACCAGACGATATTGTTAAAATCGTAGCTGATAGAAGCTGATTCTTAGAAGATTTTAGCAGCTATTGAGATTATCGCCGTCTTTCAAATTGATCTTCGATGGTATTGTTTTATCTGAAGTATCTTCCAAGAAGATCTTTCCGCGTCTCACTCCGTTTATCGATTATACACCTTTGGTACAAAGATTGTTTTCTTCTTTGATCGTCTCGTTCTCGATCGGGAGAACATTGATATCGTAACTACTACTAGAAATAATTGTTTACAAATAATGTGCCAGGATAATTGTCGTACGTGTCAAACTTTAGTTGGATCCTTAACTTCCTACAAATAGCATATTACATCAAATAAATTCAATTTAACGAATGACAGACGTACAAAAATACGAGGATAATGTTCATCGTGCATGCGAACAAAATATTAATGTTCGAATATTTAAAAAGCCTGTTGCGGAACAAAGAAGGTAACATCCAATATTTTTTTTAAACGAATTTATTCCATTTGTCACGTGGTACTCCGTATATCAAAACGAAGTTTTATTGATCACTGTTTTAACGGTGTCGCATCATATTTATATTATTTTAACAAATATTAAAACACATCAAAGTAACTTACATATTTTCATTTGAAAATAATTAACGATCGATAGAATAATAATCGTTAATAATAACATACAGATACGTACACCATTTCGTAACTTTTTTCTTGTTGTATTATTTAAGATAAATCGATACTCATATATTTATATTCCTTTTGATCGAATGAACTTATTAATGCACAATATCCCGCGAAATGATTTGAAATATTAATAAATCTATAAAGACTTAACAATAGTACAATATGATATCGACGTGTGTCTACCATTTCTTTTATTGGATGAAACCTTTGCAGTCGCAGAGCAGCATGGCATAGTAATAATGATAATACGCGTCGTCGAATTCGTAATTCTTGCTTCGCAAATTTAATCCGCTTTTGGCAACGCTTAAGAACCGATCCAGAGGAATTAACGAGTGAAATCAGAATTGAAACGCAACCGGGAAAACATATAAACGTAAACGTTGAGAAAGAAGAAGAAAAAAAAGAAGAAGAGGACAGGTAGAACATTTTTGTTTTTCCCTCTTTTTTTTTTTTTTTTAGAACGTTAATTAAAAAAGACTATTTTTAGAAGAAGAAGGAGATTTTAAGGAGAGCCGATTAAAAGTGCTGCTCTCGCATAAAATATTCCTTTAGCTGATTTAACATTCATACGTTTGTAAGCTTGAAGGTAAAGAGAGAGTAGAGTGGTTCATCGAACGAGGTCAAGCTATACCTACGTCTCGTCTCTTGATAACGGATGCATAACTCTAAGAGAGAGATACTTTAAAAAACGATATCATTGGAGTCGACCTTTTGCCAATGGAAATGATTTCCATCTGAAAACGAAACAAGAGATATAATCGTTTTGTTTCGTTAGGAACATTATCCGGATTTCAATCTTTTTTTCTTTCTTTTGATTCCCCCGGTATATATGAATATATAAAAAAAAGAAAAATATCAAATACCCGGGGAGGTAGGATATTATAGGTTTACTTTGAAATAAAAACGAATGAAAGGATTTTTTTTAAATAGGACGTATAAAATGATTTTATACGAGATAATTTAGTTCGCATAAGTTCGATTTTAAAAGACATAGAAAAACGAGGTTAAGCAGGATTTTGTGTGTATCTGGCGTAGAAATGGACGACACCACTACACGGCACTGGGTCACGGACCGTCCGCTTGCGAGGACGTCGGCGAGTACGTTGAAATGGAAAAAAGGTCCAGAGACCGTGCTTTATCAATCTGTCAGACTTATATCCAACGAACCTCGCGGTATACTCTCATCAAACAGCTCAACAACATCGGTGAGTTACGTGCAAGTTTCATTGTTAATATTCCTAGAGAAAGCCACTTATGTTGCTTGAACATTCATATTTCATCGAATTCAAAAAACAATTCTCTTATGTTATGTTTCACTCCTTTTCTCTTTCTTAAGTAAGTTCTTGTATCTTTTAGGATCGAGAGTGGACAAGCACTGGTTTGCTGTAAGAGATACTTCCCTCAAAACTGACAGACTCATCACTCTGATGCCCTTGAATAGAAATTGTCCGTTGAGTATCTGTCCGTCGACGAAAGACATCCTTAACAATTTATTTCTCGCTCTACAACATCCATACATTTGTCCTATATTCGGCCTGGAATTTCTCGAGTACGAAGAACTCAACTACGTTGTCTTAATCCAACCTATTAATCATGGTAGTCTTAAGGATCTCATATACGGCGTGAGTTGTAAAACTATTATCTGAAAAAATAATGTCAAACTTGTTAATTATAGTTTTATTAATTTATAACGCAATAACTATGTTGTTGGGTTTCTTAGATCGAAAGGAATTGCTGGAACGATGATTGGAGTCAAAAGTATGCTTCTCGTGGTAAAGGTCTACCATTATCACAAATCCAGCAGATGGGTAGGCAGATATTGGAAGCTTTGGTATTCCTTAAAGAAAGAGGATTTCCTGTAGTTTCTCATTTACACTCTGGAAACGTTGTCGTGCAGAATGGCGTAGCTCGTCTTGCCGGTCTCGAAAACACCCTCTTAGGTTTTAAAAGCAGAATACATCCAATAGTAACAACACGATTGACCAAAACAAGCACCGTAGACGTGATCTGTTTCGGTAAGGAAAAAACATTCGATCGACATAATTACGGAAAAGAAAAAAAAAACGTCCTCCTTCTATTCTCTAAGATTGGAATTCTTCTTTTCTATTCAGGTCACATGCTGTTCGAAATGTGCGCCGGTTACGAATTATGCTCCTTCAAACCAACCGCTGCGCATCTTTCGGATATCGATACATATCCGCAGGTAACGCGTTCAACCCCCCATAACTTTATTTTTATTCAGATTTCAAATGAAAATATGGTTTCAGACAAAAGTTACTTGTTTTATATATATATATATATATACATATGAACAATTTTTCTTCAATATTTTGTATTTTTTAAATAAAAATTTGTAACGTTATATTTTTTGAATATACATATGAATTAATATAGATATCTATATGTGGACTTCGAAGTTCTAGAGGGTTGAACGCAAACACGCAATGCGCGATTTTCTTTTCTTTTCTTTTCTTTCCTTTTCTTTTTCTTATTAAGAGTATTGACCTGAGTACTCTCATTTAGGTCATCGAACTACTTGAGATAATATTTGATGAGACTAGAAATCGGTATCCGAGTATAGAAGAACTTCTGATTCACGACCTCTTCCGAAACATAGACCTTCGTGAAATGCGCTGTGCACCCGTTACGGTAAGAATGTTTGCATTGTCATCTTATTACAAGATGACATAATACATCATACTAAAAATATATTATTATCTGAACACACAGATATTTCGTCCTGCCTTGACACCCTCAATAATCAATTTTTTGGATGGTATAAAACAACAAAATTTAGGTAAAAGGTAAATTGTCGGAGTTGTTTTCAAGTTTGAAAATATTTCAGCACAACATATATATATATATATATATATATATATATATATATATAGATATTCTGTAACTGGTGGTACAAACACATGTATAATCACGGTCTGTTCGCTTGTATTACCAATTACATAACACCATATGTATATATATATACTTACATATTTTTATCTAAACGCGTTTTACCGCGTTCCATTCATTTTTGCGAACGTTTATGAATTTTTATATTTTGTAAAATTTTTTATTTATTTTTGCATGCATAGCCGACACAGGTCGCGTTCTATAAACGACATCCTATTGATACACAGGTTTTGGTAATATTTCGAATAATTTAATTGATCCTGATTTAATAAAAAAAAAACGACTAATGATTCATTTCTAAGCGGAAAATTTCACTTTTTTCAGATTTACGAACTTAGATTCGAAAGATATGATATCATTGAAAAGTCCCGAAGCCGAATACCAGGATTCGCTTCTTGTCCAAATATACAACGAACTATCTAACACGACCATATAATAGGGGAACAATTTTTTCGTCTTATATACACTTGTCAAATTTTACTATTAACGATAATAAGTGCCAAAATAAATAAATCTTAATTATTATTCGCGACTAATCGAAAATATTGAAGAAAGTTGTATAATTAAAAATATTTAAAGGGGATATAAACTGGAACATCTAGCAAAGATAATAACGCACGTTAATATGTGTTGAAGCGAACGATATTTTGATAAATTATTCTAAGCTTACAATTGATATTTAACAATCCCTTTTTGAGTAATATGAAAATGATTACAGGAAATTTTCAATGGGTTATTTTAAACCCCATTTATCTTATAAACGTATATAAAACATTTGTTTATGTACATTTTATGTAATAGATATATCATATTGACTTTAAAATTGTAATCGCTTTAAATATTACCTGATGTTTACACATCTTTCTCATTCTCAAATTTAATGCAACATTCTTATTATTATTGTAGCATGGATCTAATACAGGGTGGATTTTAGGACTAAATTGTTTAGATGATTATTTCGTCGTTCAAGATGGTTTGAAACAAAAAAATTCAGAAATTACGATAAAAATTATTAACAACCGATATTTTGTAACAGTTAAAAAACAAAAAAAGGAAAAAAAAATAGATAAAACACGAATGAATAAATTGTCAATAGAGATTTCTTTATCACACTAATGTAATTTCTCATACAAACCTATGTTCCAATTTGGTCTTGTATCGAACGACACGACACGACATAGTGCCTGAATGTTTAGCATTTATTTTCTATGTACTTAAGAGCTACCCTAAAACCCAACTTGCTGATTGTAAGAACGCGCTATTACCACCGATAGGCTCACTGCTGATAAATATAAATTCGTTTATTATTAAATCTGTTTATTATTGTATATAGTTACAAAAAAAATAATACGAGAACGTAATATTAATTAACTTGCACAATACACTTATATAACGCTTGTTTTGTAAATTCTTTCAATTGTTAAACAGGTGTGAAATTATCAAAATATTTGTTCAACAAATAAGTGATAAAAAACAAAACAAAAAATTTATACATTATACGAGCAGAAACAATATTATACTATATTGATTGATTGATACAAGTTAATTAAAAAATAAATTCTTTCGTTAATGTACGCAGTAAGCCTATGATAGAACGTTTTTACAAATATACAGTACTGATACTTAATCAATGAACCAGTACTTTGCATTTCTCGCAATTACATGCATTTAAAAAAATTTTAATAGATATGCGTTTTGATGTGAAAGATTAAGATTAATGTAATCGTAATAAAAAAGAAAAAAAAACCAAACAAAAGTAATAAAAATTAATGGAGAACTAAAATATTATTGCTCTTCCATAATGTTATAACTTAAACCACACAGTTTTTTTTTGTTTCTTTTTTCTTAAGTTTTACAAATATATAAATCACCAATTCTAATGTTTATAATTCAATAATGTTCTTTTCAGTAGTCAATAGTACTAGCCAGAAGTACTTCTTAACCTTGTTAAACCATGTTAGATGATTTTATAAATTATTCTTTCAATTTATGAAGCCCCAGCTTCAAGTTCACTAGCTGGTGTATCCGGTTCTTCATCATTATATATATTTTCTGCCATTTGCCAAACTTGCATTATGTTATCTTCCGACACTGAACATATTACCCAAGGTTCATTAGGATTCCATGAAAAATCACTTATCTTTGCGGTATGTCCACCATGTATGAACTATATAAGAGAAAAAGAAATATATTAATTTATCAGATTATTTATATATATATATATATATTTATAACGATGATTTATAATAAATAAATTACCAATAACTCTGGTGGTCCATCTTCAGCATCTTCAGTAGATTGTTCTTCTCCAATTTTGCTAAGATCCCAAACATGTAAACGTCTATCCGTACCGCTACTTGCTAATATGGTTTCATTGTGTGGTGACCATTGAACTTGGAAAATTTCATCTTTATGAGATTCAAAAGAATGTAATTTTAATTTTAAATTCCTTAAATCCCATAAAGCTACTGTTTTATCCGCACTACCAGTAGCAAGGATAAATTCTGAATATGGATTGAAACTTAAACAATTAACTTCTGCGGTATGAGCGTTCACTGTATGACTCGGTTTACTAGTATTATTACATCTGTAATAATAAACATTTTTATATATTAAGATATATCAGATATATAATGTTATTAATTAAAACATTTATATTATTATATGTACCTCGTATCCCAAATCATCAATTTTTGATCATCCGCAACTGAACCAAAAAGAGATTCATGCAACAAATGCCATGCAACATCCTCTACAACAGCAGTATGTCCTGTAAAAATAGTCTTTGCATCAATCACTCGATTTTCTTTGGGAGTAGCATTGATATCCCATAAACAGATTGTATGATCATCTGATGCGCTCAACAAATAGCCATTAAGATTTGGATTCCATGATAATCCATAACCTTCTTTTTGATGTCCTTGTAACCTAAATGAATACATTAATGTATAACATAACAAATAATGACTTAAATATATTATATATTAAACACAAAAGATATAAATGTTTACCTTAAATCTGGATGACATTCACCATTTGGATCTGGCTTGCTAGGATGTTTGGTGTAATCGAATACTAAAACATCGCTTGATGGAGTTTTTGTAGCAATAACGCAAGGATTTTGTGGCATGTATCTTGCTCTATTTACTTCTCCCTCATGATTAATTTTAATTTCAATTTCTATTTTTCCACTTACAGAACCAAACCCACCAAATTCACCCTTTTCGTTATCATAATGGGAAGCATCAAACTGAGCATCTTCATTAGGTAATTGAACACTCGCTATTAACAAATGATTTTGTTCATCCGATGTATGTGTACCAAGGATCAAACGATGAACGGTATAATCTTTTCCTTCTGGTCTAGTTACATCCGGTAACCACTGTGCAGTTAAAGACGGCCATTCCAAAGCATGTGTCATTACAAGATCATATAAAAAGGGTGTATTCTTTTTCCATATTTTGTATTCTTCATTAATAACACGTTCTTCGACAGCATCATCGAAAGTTTCTAAAATAATAAAATATGAATATATTGTTGAGTTTTTATACAAGAGAAATCTTATTCTTTATCTTATCCATATATTTTTTAATTTATCATTGATAACAATATGAAATAAAAATGAATAATTAATAAAATTAATAATTGATAAAATTATAATAAAACTGTTTAATAGAAATAGAAAAATAAGTCAAATTTAATATACTATCTAATTATTATAGAAATATATATAGGATGATTAAACAGTATTTTTTAATTAAATAGATTTTTTAATATATTTTAAAGAAAAAATCTAATCTACTTTAATATGTTTCAAAAACTTAAGAAATTGATTATTAAAATACAACGTTAAACAATTTTGATAAGTTGAAATTTGATATAAGAAAACGGCATTGTTTATGATACCGGGTAAAGAAGCGTCCTTTAAAAAAAATAACCAATTAATAGTTATGTTTAAAGATAAACTTGATATTAATGATATCGTATATCAGATATTTTCTTACCACCGTCCTTATCACCCATTTATACGTTTTTTATACTTCAGCTTTGAAAGTAAGACTCAAGAAACCGCCAAAGAAATAACGCCCGCCAAAAAGCCACGATGCACACAGCCCGGTACTTTAGCCTCGAGGGACCGGTCGTAAAATATTTCATATACTGATCTTCGAATATGAAAATAAAAGGCATTCCAATGCACATCAATTTCAAATTATCTACACGCTGGACATTTTGCGTAAAATTGACCAATGAGGAAGCTATTTCAATGGAGCTTAGTTATTGGTATATTTTCAAACACAACTTGTTCAAGTATTATAAACCTAATCATATTGAAATTTAAACAATATAATACATTACAATCTATAATAATTTTATTGTATAAAATTATTGAACAGAAGCATATATTAACATCATAGTATTATTTGTAAATATTTTTAATATTTCGCTTTTTTGACGCTAGATATCGCCATGTTGCAACAAAAAACATTGAACGTTTGATTGTCAGTACACAGCATGACGATGGAAAATTTGTGGAATGGAAAAAGAAGTATATAAATTAATATGAATTGCAATTATAGAATCGTTAGTAATAGATTTGCTAATATTTATTCATTAACGATATAATGTATTTCAATTGTTATCAAAATATAATCTTATATATAGATATAATATATTCGTATTCGTTTTTTTTGTCTTGTTATAGAAGTCAAATTTATCTACAACAATGTATCGTTATTGAAAAGAACGGAATATAATTATTGCATATTTGTTATAAATTGTTAAAAGGCGTCATATATAAATTCGAAAAATGACAAAGCATGAATGGAAAAGTTCGTTAACCAGAGGATAACGCTTCCGATGCACTAGATGGCGTATATACGTGGGGTAGAATAATGTGTGAAAGGTGGTAGTATGGGACACTACGTTGGGCGTCCACGAGAAATGTCGTCGATTCGTGTATCGAGTTTTCACATGATAGCCGTGGTACGCCAGGCAAGAACAAAATTCGTGCTTGCATTAAAAACATCCACAATCAATTTTTTATTTTTACGGACTCTAAGCGCATCAGAGCATATAACTCGATCTCAAACGAATTCGGCTTAACCTTATTTTGCGTCTCCCCCTCTCTTTCTCTCTCTCTCTCTCTCTCTCTCTCTTATTTCTATATATCTATTTGTCTTGCTTTTTCATTTTCCCATGCTCCCGTCTCTCTCTCTCTCTCTCTCTCTCTCTCTCTCTCTCTCATCTGTATTATTACTGTTTCCCTCTTTCTCTATTGAAGATCTTTTGAGGTTGAGATGGATCATGACAAAAGGTGGCATCACTGGGGACGACGAGTTGGAAGGCACCGACGAGACTGCACTGATTGATATGACGCCATTTTACTAACCTTTTCGGCGCGGTTCGTGGTTGATCACGGATAGTAAAACGCTTTGTATTATCATTTACGAGCGTTATCGAGATATCCGCGTACAGTCGATCTCACATATTTTCTAAGGAAAAACACGAAGAACGAATTTGAGCAGGACTGTACCGAAAAGTGAAAAGAGTCCGGGCTAGTGATTCGAAGTAAAGCCCTTCACAAGGAGTAAAAAAGTTACGCGCCGTTCTTTCTTTTACTGTTCGACCTCGCCGACCGGTCACTCTCGGACTCTACGTCGTCGTTAACTTCTAATAATTTATCATCATTGTTTAGCTTATGTGCTTCATCTTTAACGCGAGTTCGATCATTCTTTCGGCTTTGACACACCGGCCAAGGAGGGAAAATTAAAGTATGCAGCATCATGTATGAGACTTCATAATGTTTTCAACCAAGATTTTTTACGAAACACAGTTTACGTATCTCGGAGAAAACGTTTGCGTTCTTAAATTAATGCAGGTAAGGATCTTCACATTTATATTTTTCCTTTTTTTTCTCTAGTCTTATTTAAGCTTTTCCTTTTGTGATCTGTATGAAGTTGTTCATTAAATTCTTCCTAAAAGTTATGATCAAGTATTCATTTATGTCTTGGGTAGGAAAATAATAATTTCTAACAGTTTTATCAAATATTCGTAATAAATCTATCATGCATCAGAGTTAAGCTTTAAATGCAATTAATTACATGATATGGTGAAATGGTTAATTCCATAAAATGTTAAATTAGCTTATTCTAGGTCAATCATTATTTGTAAAAAATGATATTTAGTTTTATAAATGTATGAGGTTATATGATTAATATTATTTGTATTCTTGGATGATTTAATGTACGATTAAAATGAATAATTTTTTATTACTTTCTTTTATATATAAATAATTGTCTTATTATTATTAATAACTATTTAATTGAGATAAAACTTCATAATGTTTTTATCCAAGCTATTGCACGTGACATAGTTTACTCTTTTTATATCTACATTTTATATCTATATCTCTGTGAATTATTTTTATATTTTTTTTTTTTTTTCTATAAACGAAATATTTTTAACAAAAGTTACAAAATTTGATTTTTTTATTTCAGGTAACATTGTTTTAGCAGTCTGCATTATTATGGAAGATGAAGATGGTGAGAGTAAAATTATGGACATGTGGAGTATTTTGGAAGATCAACAACTCAAAGATCCAACATTTGGCAATACTTTAAAACATTCTGTTGATAACGTGTATATCGATACGATCGAAGAAGAGAGACGAATAAGTAGATATAATATAGTAACTCCTAAAGACTCACCAAGTAGGAATACCAGTAGCGGATCAAAAAGTGTATTCAAAGGTTTTAAGAAACGTATCTTGGCTCAAGCTCAGGAAACACAATCGGTTGCATCTAAAAGTTCTCAAGAGCAAGTATCTCATCCTAATGTATCATCGAAAATTACTAAAGAGAAAAGAACAGAAAATAAAAGGGGGAAGATAACAGAGTATGCTCAATATTTGGGTCTTCAACCTTCTTCAAAGATAAAGTGTTCCAAGTGTTATTCTTCGACAAATTTGAATTTAAAGCAAAGTCAGTGTGTGTGTAATATTGCCATGGCACCGATGCAAGGATTACCGAGCACTTCTGAAACATCCTCTCAGTCGCACCCTCCTAATTTTAAAATTGCAAGGAAAGTTTATTTGTGCTCAGCTTGTGAAACATACTTTGAAAATTGGAATTTGTTTTTACATATGAGAGATATACATAAACGTCATATATGTCTGTTTTGTTTAGGAATGTTTGGACAAGCAGAAAGATTATCTTATCATTTGTATAAGACTCATAGCATACCACATATGGGATTTAACACTGTCGAAGACTTTTACAGTGCTTTCAAAGGATCATGTTATTTGATTTGTTGTACTTGTGAGAAGATGTTTTCTGAAACAGATAATTTCAGTAGCCACTATTGTTCTCCTTTGAATAAACAGGAAGATACTACAAATGTGTGCAATTTATTTCAAACAAGTTCAAATACGAAGACTTGTGCACTAGCGGTTGAACCTAATAAAGATGCAAATCCTATGGTGCCTGTTACAATGACTACACAAACAGAAACGGTATCAGCAATTCCTATTGAGAAACCATCAAACATGAATAATAAAGGAACATCAAAGAAAGTGATTAAAAATAATAGAAATAAATATGGGGAGAAAAGTATATCTAATTCATGTCAACAAAATGCGAAAAAAGTTAATGCTAAGGTAGGGATTACTCAATCCAGCGAAAATCAACTTTCTTCGGATAGTACAGTAATTAGAGATAGAAATGTACAAGATGAGACAGCAGTTAATATAGCTAGAGATACAGTATTAGAAACAATAATGGAAGTATCTAAATGTATTGATGAATCATGTACCAGCGAAATAGAACAGAAAGATCATAGTCATTCTGTAACGAAAACATCTTCAGAAAAATCACAGACTCCAAATAATAACCAAATTGAACCTTATGATAGTATAACTCAAACAATTATGGAGGTTTCACGTTGTACAAATGACACAGAAGATGATGAAGATATACCAAACGAAAATGCAAATCAGTCTGATGCAGCAGACATAAATAATAAGACAGAATCGGAGACTGAAAATAGCATTCCTTTAGAACCCACAATTAATGAAGAATCACATGAAACCAATTCCGAACATCAAATGAAAAAAGAAACAGATACTATGGAACAAAATGAAACGTTAGAAATGTCAAAAACAAAATCTGATTCAGAGTCTCACTCATCGTCAAGTCCTGTTCATAGTCCAATTAGTAGATCATTGTTTAGTCCTCAACATGAATCACAACAGGATCTTCAACCAAAGGAAGAGTATCCTGATGATGGTAGTAAACATGTGGAGGCTGCGCCGCCTACAGAATCTCAAACATCAGTTTCATTTAATACTGCCCCTGTATCTGATAGAAGTTTAGTAATTAAAATTTGTACAAATAAGAATTCGCAATTTTCTGTAAGTTCGACGGCAAGTATAGAAACTCATAATATTAGTAGAGATTCCGAAGAGAATAACAATGCAGAAGAAGATTCATCATCGGATGAAAAACTTTTAGGTTTTACTCAGAAAGATAAAGTTAGTATAGGATGTAATCAAATAAACGAAGCTGATAGCGATTCCGATAGTTATAAATTAGCTGTAGTAGATAGTAATGCAGAAGATGATATTAAAGAATTATATCAGTCAGAAGATAGAGTAAAAGCTAAAGGAAGTACGGAAATTCAAGAAAATACTAATGCTTACGAAGAGAAAGAGGGATTTACAATAGGTGATAATGCAAAAGTTGAACTCAGCACAACAACAGAACAATATAATAATGATGCGACAAAAAATATCGTAAATTCGGAATTAGTATCTCAATCGAACGATGGAATAATCTTAGCTGGAGAAGATGTCCCACCTATAGACCTTAATGTGGAAGGTACATTAGATAGTACAAAGTTAGAAGACTTACTGAAAAAATGTATAGAAGCAGCCAGTCCATTATGTGTCTACTGCAATCACGCACGCCATATAGCTGTCAATGGAAAACAATTAGGATTACATATGTTAGCTGAACATAAATTTCATCCACAGCATCCAGCTATAATCATACAACCAGAGCAATTTACAGTAAGAGTTAAAAAGTCACTTGATGAACAAGAAACTAATTTTTTCAATCTTGACACGTACAGCAGCACAAATGGTACCTATAATATTCAAACTTTTAGGACGTACGAGTGTTTTCATTGTAGATATAATTCTACAATACATAAAGAACTATATTCTCATCACAGAAAAATGCATCAGAAAACAATTTTAATTTGTATAATGTGTAAATCAACGTTTTATAGTTACAGTGAATTGTTGTGTCATTTATGTCCAGGCATATATTTACCGAATATGAGTGTCAAGTATAGATGTTGTCTTTGTTCTATTAGTAGTCTTCCATCGGCATTCAGATTAATGGTACATCTAAGAAAGAGTCATCATGCTTGTGATGTATGTTTGGAGACTACTGGAAATCAACAACGATTGTCAAATCATGTATGGAAACACAAACTTCATCATTTGTGTTATCGATGTGGTATTGCATATAGAAATAAACCTGACATTACAAAACACCTTTTCTGGAAGCATGGTACTGAGAGTGTTTTATGTAAAAAATGTTTACAAAAGAAATGGCCACATATTTATCATTTCTGTATACCACCTACAGCTTTCGTTTGCGAAGAATGTGGTTCTAGCTTTAGTCGAGCTGTAGCATTAAAAGTTCATAAGAGATTACATTCAGGAGATCAACCATATAGTTGTAGCAAATGTACAAGTCGTTTTATCTCGCAAAGGCTCTTAGCTAAACATGAAGAAAGTCATAAAGAACCATTACTAATAGATGTTTGCACGGTAGATGCAGCAAACAATCAAATTTTGGTTGATAATGACAAATCTGACAAAGAAAAAACAACTAACGTAGATATTATGTCGACCACCTCAAATGATACAAAAGATGTGAAAGAGACTATGAAAAAAGTAGTTGATGTTTATGATTTACCACCGCTCAATTTATCCTCAGAAAGTGAAAGCGAAATGGAAGAAACAAAGGATGATTCGAAAAAGAATGAGGAAAGTGCAGAAAAAAATGAAATAATAGAACAGAAAACAGAAGAAACAGTATCACTTGCAACATCTGCTAAAGTAGAATCACCAGTACAAACAAACGATAATATAGTGGATGAAGAAGAAAACGAAGAGGAAAAGAAACAGGAAGCGAAAATAATGGATGGTATTTGGGATAATTTCAAAACATATGCAGCTAGTTTAGAGATGCAAGAGTCAGCAAATTTATCCAACAAAGAAACCGGACCTGAAATAGATGTTGCATATTTAAGGAGCATAGTTTTGGCTGATCATGATTATTGCATCGTATGGTCAGAAAAAGATAAAAATACTGAGGATGGAATGAAAGAAGATGAAAAAGGAACAAATAATGCAGATATCTCTGATTACTCTGATAAGCTTCAAAGAAGTCCATCCGCTGGTAGTTTAGCACAACAAAATACTGGCTGTGAGAGCGATGTAAATAAAAAAAAAGGAAAGAGCCCTAAAAAGAAAAAACAAAATGGTAGTACATCTTCGAGTGATTCTTCTAGTGAAAGCGATTCGAGCAGCTGTTCCTGTGGTACCAATTGTAGTTGTAGTAGCTCATCTTCTGGTAGTTCCTCGAGTTCTAGTAGTAGCTCCGATTCCGATAGTTCAGCATCGGAAAGTTCTCCTCGTAAATCGTCGAAAAATAAAGAACGCAAGAAGGAAAAAGAGGTTGTTCAAGAAGAACAAGGTATTCCAGCAGAAACTGAAAATAAAGAAGCAGTAGTCGATGTAACCGACGCACCCATCGAACCGACTTCTGCTCCAAAACTATTGTTGAGAGAATCAGATTTGGAAACGGATGAGACCATAACCGACGAGGACTTTTATGACGAGTATCCGCAGCAGCTCGCTAATAAAATAATGGCAGAGAAACGAAATCAACTGTTATTACTTGCAGAGGTTGCACCAGCTTCGACTGATTCGGTACTTCCTTTAAATAATGGTATTACGGACGAAAGTTATGTTACTCCTTCACCCAATCCAGCGTCGAGTGTCGAGGATCAGCAACTTCAACAAAGGAAAAAAGTAAAAACAAAAAAACGTAAACGAGGTGAGAAAGTTAAGCAACGGGTCGTTCCTCCAATGGTGGAATCATTGAAGCTTAACATACCTAAAGTGTATTACCAAAAGAATTCGAACTTCTCCGTGATGAGTCATCATCAGCTTGGTAGGTCGACGCCGAATCTTATCACGAATAATATTCAGACGACTGTAGCGGCGGTCGAATCTAATTCTCATGTAAATCAGAATATCGGTGGTAGCGGTTCTGAGACGGAGAATAAACGGTCATCAAAGAGAAAACGTATACCAAAACGTTTTTACGGCGATTCCAGCGACGAAGAAACGGAAAAGCAACCGACAATGAAATGGAGGAAGGTTGTCGAACCACCGGCTTTCGTAGCTGCGGCGCAACCGAAACCTTTGCCGCAAAGATTATCTTTTGGTGGAAAGACTGTGGCTTATAGAGCAAACGTCGCTGAGCCAGAACCTATTGTGAACGTGACGGCAACGTCTGCGACAGAATCCGAGGAACCAGCAGATACTAGTAGCGAATCTAGTGGTTCTGACGTTGACACGTCAGTGCATCAGCAACCGCAGGGTAACTCAGTTTCAGAGAGCACCGCTTCGGTTCCGGAACGTTCTGTTAATCTTTACTGTTACTGTCAATGTCCCTACGACGAGGTGTCCGAAATGATTGCTTGCGACGGTCGGGATTGTCGTATCGAATGGTTTCATTTCGAGTGTGTTGGTATTATGATACCCCCTAAGGGCAAGTGGTATTGTCCAGACTGTAGGAAAAAACATGGTATCATGCAAAATAGTGAGGACTATTTCGATTGATAACAATACGCGGTATCTACTTCATTGTCAGTCTTCTAAAGATGTTATGGATATTGTGAGTGGTTGTTTTAAATCTTAATACCGTGCTCACTTAAAATATTTAAGTTTAGACGTACTCTCGTAGCGTTTACCCTTTTTTCTTCTTGGTAACAAACAAAAAATGAAAACAAAAAAAAATAATAATAATATTAATAATAATGATATACGCTGTTCCATGTTGATATTTTTCTTAAGCCAATAACAAAAATGTTTGTATATAATTGTAAATATGCTCTAAAGTTTATAATAATGAAGTAAGGTTTCTTGTGTACATTTGTTTGTACTTCTTTTAACGATTAAAGTGCTGTGTATAAAATTCGATTTAGGTGATAGGCGGTGTGTAGCATCGGTTTTTAGAACTGTAGACTGCATCACGCCAGGGATGCAAATTTCTTGAATGTGAAGAGGAACCCGCGCGGGGATATGAATACGGGAGGACTGTTTTATGAATTCAATTTACAGCTTCGTCTGATCCGACAGTCGGCACTGCTGGCGGTGTCCATGCCTCCATTGTACGAACAATCATTTAACCATGTGCTTGACTCTAGGTTTTGATGAAAAACTTCGGTTGTGAAATTGGGATACTGATACAAATCACGGTCGCTTTTTTTTATAACCGTAATAGCTTCGATTTTATAATGAAATGTGTTAAGTTTCTTTGATGTTATTTACTTAACGCGTTAACGTTACGAAAAATAAAAAAAATAAAATAAAATAGATACTCTCGTCGTCTGAAATTGTTGATCTTATTTTTTTTCTCTCTCTTATAATTCTTTTTCACGCTTTTAGATATAAAAACAAAAAGAGAAAAAAAGAAAAAGTAAAGGGTTCATAAAACGAATGGATATTTCGTTATTTCTAGTCTATCGCATAACGCGTTATAAGGAAAAAAAAATAGGAAAAAAAGATGTTCTTCTTCACTACAAGCTTTTTATTATCAATGATTGATATGAATGGCTCTGCAATTCAACATCTTGCTATGCTAATTCAGCGCTTCAACAGTTATTGGGCCTATTATATATATATATATAAATATTATTTTTAATTATTTTTCTCACAGAATATAAATCCATTCGTAATGGCGTAATCTTGATTGATGCATATTCCATTTAAATTAGAAATGAGAAAATGACATACCGCTGTCACTGCGTTGCTATGGTATTGAGATCAAATGAACAAATAAATGAATATTTACAGTTAAAACTATCGTATAGCTCGGATAAGAAAATTGCGTTCCTAATGGGACGAGCGATGTAATAATTATTCGCATAAGATGGCACAAGACATACGATTGCTGATCGTATAATATCATACAGCACATCGTTAGTATATAATTTTCGATCAATTTCTGCCTATACTTCTTTAAGTCCATTTCATAAAGTTATTCCTGCAATCTGCCGAAATAATGCCTCCTCGGCATATTATCGCTTCTATTATAGCTTCTGGAAAGAAACATTTTTGGAACATAACGTTCATTAGATTATTCCAGTATTTTGTTCTTATTAACATAATACATTGACTCTCTCTTTCAATATATTTCAAAATATAAAATGACTTTTACTCGTAACACGAAATTATTCAAAATAAATAATGTGATATAATTTTTTAAATCAATTGATAGTTATTATGAAATGGATATAGAAGAAAAGGGAGTATTCTTCTATTGTCATTGAAGAAATGATTTCGGTTCGTGTAAATCTTAATGTCCTATGTACTTTTAATAAGAATATTTAAAAAACAAAACCCTTTGAGGTATCATAAACTCTGCGATCATTTCAATTGTAAGTTCAAATATTTCTATTAACGCAAATCTTTTAGATTAAAGCAAGTCGTCCTCTCCTATTTCCCCTGTACAATTAATTTAAAATATGTAACACATAATAGACACAATATTTCAAACACATTTTCTTTATTACCTTAGATAGCTTTCATAATGTAAATATAAAAAAGAAAAATTGAGTAAAAAATCGTATCGGCAATGCGACAAACATCACTTTATATCTTTATTCTCAGCCCTCATCCTCTCCAAAAATTCAACACCCAAAATAACCGTGACAAAATCTTTGTAAGATATCTTCTGTATCATAAAAATAATAATACATTAATTTTCGAAAGCCTATTTTAATAGCGTTTGATTATCTGTACATTATAGTACAATTGTCATACTTACCGATGGTAGAAAATTAAAACTTGTAGTTGTAGATATTTCTTGTCCTTTTGAATCCGCAAAATTTGTTATATTGGCATCCTCCGAAGGAATAAGCAGTTTTAGGTATGTATATGCTTCTTCTAATGTTAGTGGTTCACCTTTAAAAATATAGGCACGAATCAAGTTACACGAAAAACGAGTTAAATGAAATGAAATAAAATTAATAAAATGACTAACCGAGAAGTTTCTTATCCTCCATGATATTTATCTCTGGATATTTACCAAATAATATGTTTATAAATTGATCTCGAGTTAAAATTAAATCTTCATTGTTGTTCGATTCCTTTCCGCAAAGAATTGCGAATGATTTTTTCACTTGTCTCGTAGAATATCCAAAAGCGGGTCGATGATTGATGTATAGTTTGACGAAATCTTCAAAATTAATTTCCTCCAATAATTGTCCCGTCTCTGCATAATTCCTGTATGCTACTTCGCACATAATGTTTTCCAGCTAAAAGATTCATCCTGTAATTATCTTATTACACACGTTTTCAAAGTATAGATAAATGGTAAATATAATTGTTAAGTGATATAAGTCAATGATTAATCTTACTTCTTTGTTACTAGGAAAATAACCAACGGCTCGCATTAAATTTGGTATTTGTTTAATGGATACCATATCGGAAATCTTTCTTGTTTCCATCGTATTTTCTCCTTGTTGTAGAATCTGTGCGTAGTAGAATAAATCTCGCATTTCGTTAAATAACCAGCCATTTTTACCACCTTTTATAAAATTATAAAATGGAGACAATCCTTCTCCTCCTAAACGTTTCATAATATTTATTGATCTGTAACAAATATTTTTTCATAGGCACATATATACATACATACACAAATACCTATTCTATCTAGCCTTCTTATATTTCTTCATAATTCTTTGAAGTATAGTTTAATTTTCTTACAAACCTGAATTTAATTTTCCACATTAAAACACACGAGTCTTTATATCCCATAGTAAATGCAATATTATTTTTACAATCCACAGCAAATCCAGTTATCTAATGTGCTTATTTTCATTGAATAAAAGTTTCTACAATATACGAAAAGAAAATTTACAAAATGAATCAAATACCTTACACGGATGTCCAGTAAGTCCTAAACTTGAATAAGGATTACCATCTAATGGAAGACTTTGTAAACCTATTTCCTTATCAGTCGAAAATACCATATATATGCTATTATGTTTTTTTGTTAATATCTACGAAAACGAAAAATGATAATAATATCAATGAAAATTTAATAATACCTATACATACTTTAAAACGTTGTATAGGTGTTCCAAATGTTGGATTTAAAAAAGTTCCACGAATCATTCTGATTATATCATTTAATAATATATACTTGTACTGAAATTGTACAATTCATTAATATTAATACGTATATTAATTATTTTTAATCTTTTTAACTCTCATAAATTACTTCAGTATTCGATATCACGAAAAGAGTCTCAACACCGAATCGCGGATACCATTCTAAATAAAGAGGAGTCGCTTTTGATTCGATTCTATCGATTTGTAAAATTTGTAATCCTGGATCCGGATATGGTCCACTATTGTTTTAATATAAAAATTTATTATGTAATATCGTATAATATATACAAAGAAATATTACTTTTTGTTTACCTATTTTTTAAATCATATTCGACGAGATCTTGATCCTCTCCTAAAGAAAAAAGTCGAGGAATTGAATTGTCTGTTATGGACGGTCCAAATAAAACTTGTCTAATAGGTAAACTATGCGAATGACATTTTCCGATTAAATTCCAAATGTTAGTTACATTCACGGACTTGGTATCATTTTTTCGGAATACTACGATCGATAAACCATCGTCCTGAACAAAATTAATATATTTTAACAATAAATACACTTGTATAATTCTTTTTTTTTTATTACAGAAAAAAGATACTTAACGGAATAAGCCATGTAAGTCGAGCATTTGGCGAAGGCAACAATACGAATAGCTTGAGACGAATGTTTGTAAGGAAATTCATCTAACAATTCCAATGTTAATGGATTTAATACCCATAAAGTGCCATTTTCCATACCGCAGATGAGTAAATCACCTGATAAAAAATGATTTTCTATCATCATTTTATACAATGAATAATTTCATTAACTAATAAAAATATTTCGTTGAATATATGTTACAGCATACACGTCGGAGAATATTTAAGAACGGTAATAGCAGTCAAACTTTGATGTGTCTGTGGACAACTAATGTAAATAATTTTATCGTTTTTATTTTGATAATCAAAAATGCTTTTAAAATCTGGTAGATCGGGAACTTTTTTAGATATGATCAATCTACGTTTCTCATAATCGTATAAATTTAAAATACCCTCTTTGTTTCCCGTGACAAGATAGTTACTGTAAATGAATGTATCACTTTTCATTCTATAAAATATACTTTTTATTAAATTCGAGGTATACCTTTCCGGATGTGCATCTAAACTTGTTACATGGGCAGCACTATGTTTCAAAATGAATTTGCATTTTAAATTTGAAATATCCAATAAAGCAAGTATACCTTTTATTGTAGCTATAACAATTACCATTATATATGTGTATATTAATTACCATATATGTGTGTATTCGTTCATTTTGTGTTAAATTTATTATTTATTATTTAACAAATAAGAAAAAAAACGCTTACACACAAAGCTGTTTCTAACAATGAACTTAGAACGTTGTAAACTCGCGTCGGTAGCTACATACATTGATTTTTTGTTGCCATAATAATATTTTGGAATACGTTCTGTATTAACAGTTAAATATGACAATTTTCTATCCATTTTATCATTTAAGCATTCGACATCTTGAAGATTACAACATTCATCCTGGCATACAAAATCCTCTATAAATTCATTTTCCATTTCGCTTTTTATTTCCTCCGTGCTTTCTCCGTTGCTTGATTCGACTATTTTTTGAAAAATATAATATATATTCACATTTTTAAAAAAAAAAAGATTCGTATCGTGCTAATCTTACTTTCTGTTTCACTGATAACTTTTACAGGGCCAATTAATGTAGAGCTTAGATCGAAACTTATCGATCGAATAGATTCGAGTTCTTGATTTTGACACCAATATAAAATTTTTAATCGATTATCATAAAAAGTTATTCGTCCGTTAGAATTTCCAGTAACAATCATTCTATATATTGAAAACAATAATCCATGATCAAATGAAAATCTTTACGAAATATATTATAGATTTTTCTTCAAATGATTATCCTAATTAATTAATACCCTTCGTAATTAATAATTACAGTAATACTGCAAGTTTGTAATTTAATTGATTTGATATGTTTCTTTTTTAGATTTGTATCTTCTGTAGCATGTTCGGAAGTGTGAACGTGATTCCAGACTAACACAAAACCTGCAAAACAAAATGTAATGAACTCTAATCATATTGATTTTTATTCAAATCCAATACTTTTTACCGATAGTCGTTGCTGTTAACGTATCCGATGTATTTCTAATAAAAATAGAACTATTGAAAATTCCATAACGACGACATTTTCCAATTATTTCCGGTTGATAATAATTAAGTTTATTTTGATCCTAATAAACAACGAAGTTATACAATTTAACAAATACAAATATTTTTCATTAAGTTACAAATTCGCATTACAAACCCAAATGAAAAAAACTACGTGGTGATCAGTAGTCAAAGCAAATCGTTTTGGAAAGTTATCATCAAAACTAATTTCTTTAATTCTATCCAAATGTACGTCCGATAATTCAACAATCGCTAAAAACATCAAAATATCTAATAAACATAATATATACGGAAATACGGAATAATTAATACATTTAATTAAAAATAACCATCGGGTTTATCATTTCCATATGTCCAGAGCCAAAAGTAAACGTTTTGGAATTTTTCATTGCCGATTGTAACAATATACTTCGCATTAGGACTTATACGAGCTGCTGTTAAGCCATTTTTACCATGAGGTTCAAATAAAGTGCTAATAGGTATACTAAACAATAATCATATATATATTTTTATATACGCATTACGCAAGTATAGTTTATATATACTGGATGTCCCAAAAGTTTTGTTATCGATCTGAAAAATTATTGATTTATTTATTGATGTTCTTTCATTTTGTAGAATTGCGTTAGGATTGCATCAGAGTTCCGTTAGAGCTACGTCAGGATCTTTCTTTTCTGATTAAAGCAACTTTTGGGACATTCGATATAATTCAATTTTAACTTTATTTCAGTATCCCAAATAATGACTGCACAATCATCTTCAAAGTCTGCTGTCAATAGCCATTTACCATCATTCGAACTCGATAATGTTCTAATCGCAGTTTTCTAAATATTATGTTAACTGATTAATCAAATTAATATTATATCAGGTAAAAATAACACGTGTCCATACTAACGTGGCCTTGAAGAGATAACATTTCGTTACAACTATAATCATACATCATTGCCACATGTGAACAAGCGTAAACAATTAATGTACGATTTTCGGTGGTTAAATTTATTATAGGAATATTTGGATTAAAACCAAAAGAATATTGTAGTTTCTGCAAATAGTAATTCTATAATTAGCATAAATGAAATGCATTTAAAAATGTGTGCGTTACCTACAAATGGACATCTATTGAATTCTGATATCACTTCCTCTTTTGTATTATTATTTTTTGATAGAGACAGTTTTTTATTATCAGAATTTTTAAAAGGCGATGCCATTTTTATACTATTTTTTATCAAGCGTTTTGTCGATATTAAATCTTTTTTTCATTCAAAATATATTGATCCGAATTTTTCGGGGCTTGTAACAGTTGAAAAATACTACTGAAGTCAAGAAAAAAATGCATGCAAAGAAGTGACGCCTTTCCAACCGGAAGTACTGTACGTTTAAGTAGGTAATTTAAATTTATCGCTTTTGAATATATTACAGAAATAAAATTAATAGAATTAGATAATTACAAAGGGTACTGATAGTAGACAATAAAATTATATATATAATTTTTATTTTTTATATTTATTATTTAATTTTTTATTATATTTAAAGTAAGTAGATATAACCTATTGTTGGCCGCTTTAAAGATATATTATAAATCTATACATTCACATCATTAGTCATCATTTTTTAAATGACATTACAAAATAAGGCATACAAAACAGCATCCTTTAAATTTGCATTTACTTTAACTGCAGCAACTTTGTGGTTTAGGATCCAATCCTGAACGTTTAGTAATATAAAGTCGTGTAAATTCTTCTGCACTAGTTGGATGGATACCAACTGTAGATTTAAGTATCGGGAATGTTAATTTACTCCTGCAAAAAAATATAATTTTACGGATTAATAAATTATTCTTTGAATTTGTTGTTAAAAAATATATGATTCGTGTCAAAAAATCTTACTTAACGGCTGCCGCAAAACCTTGAATGACCTCACCAGCATTTGGACCAAGAAAATGCATACCCAAAACTCTCTGATCACCATTTCTAAGTGCCACCACTTTAACATAACAACGAGAAACATCTTTCTGTGGCACGAAAAATTCTGTAGGCTTATAATATGCGTGATAAATTTCTATTTCATCGGCACCGTGTAGAGATACAGCATCTTCTTCGCTGAGTCCAACACAACCATACTCTAACGGAGTGAATACAGTTGTAGCTACATTAGCATAGTCCATTTTATCTTGTGAATTAGCAAATAATCTTTTAGCTAACAATTTTCCCGCATGTATAGCGACGGGTGTCAATTCAGGCTTTTTCTGTAAAGTATTTAATATTATTAATATTAAATTGATGTTCAAATAATTTATTGCGTGTATTGTTTCAAATAAATTATTAACATCTTACATGAAGCACATCACCGACTGCAAAAATATTCGGTACGTTCGTTTGTTCATTTTTTGCATCAATTTTTCCATTGTCCGGGACAATTTCAAGTCCTACATTTTCAGTTTTTAATTCCTTTGTAAGAGCTTGGCGACCAATAGCGAATAAAACAGTGTCATAAACATCTTGATGAACATTTCCATCCTAGAAGAAACAAATTTTAAGTAAATTTTAATTTAATAAATATATATATTTTAATATAAGTATTTTAAAACATACCTTGTCAACCCAATCAACCAAAAGACGACCATCCGCTTGTTTCTCAATTTTCTTAGGCTTAGCTTGGTAAACAAAATGGACTCCACGACTTTCCAATTCTTCAGCTACCATGTTAGCCATTTGTTGATCAAATCCTCTAAGCACGATTGAACGTACCATCACTGTTGCATCGAAACCTAAACCATTCAAAAATCCTGCACATTCTAATCCAATATCTATGCATTCGCTAAGGAATATGCTTCGTTTGTTATATGTAATAACATAATCAATTAATAACAATTAAATTAAACTAAAAAGTATAATTAATTAATAAAAAAAGGATACATCCTGCACCAACAACAAGAGTTTTTCCTGGTGATTTTTCTAAACTAAAAATATCGTCACTGCTAATTCCATATTCTAAGGCACCAGGAATTTCAGGGTACTTTGGTCTTCCACCAACGGCGATTAAGATTTTATCTGCGGTAATAATTTTCTCTTCTCCATTTTTCATAACACCAACAACAGTATGAGGATCTTTGAAATATCCCAGAGCATTGACATAATTAACCATTCTGCATTAACATAAAAATATAATGTTAGAAAAGAATAATTAAATACATATATTTACTTAACTGCATTTAATACTAACTTCGTTCTCAATTCTACCCGTGTTACCCAGTTTACTGATTTAACATGATTTTGCACAGCAGTTTTCAAAGTTTCCCAATCATTTGTAATAGTTTTTACATCTGGTAATTGCCATCCAAAGGATGCTGCTTCCTGTAATTAGAATTCATGGTTGTGAATCACTTATAATAAAAACTGTATAGAATATTGTATATATCTGTAACTTACTCTAACAGCTTCACCAAGTAGTGCCGCTTGATGCATCAATTTTTTTGGTATACATCCTACATTAACGCAAGTACCACCTAAACCCCATGTAGTTCCTTGTGGAGATGGAGTAACAAAATCCAGTACCGCAACTTTTGCTCCAAGTCCAACAGCCTCTTTTGCTGCTGCTAAACCACCAGATCCTCCCCCAATGACCAAGAGGTCATACATATACTTACTTTCCGCTAAAATCAAAAGTATAATATTCATTATATTTGACATTTCACATAATCATCATCTTAGTTATGTAACTATTGACATACAGGTTATATTTAATGTCAAAACAAATTATTAAATATCATAAAAATGACATTTGATGAAAATTTGATATTAAAGAATAAAATGTTCAATTAACTCAACGAAAAAAATGTCTTTAATTTAGATAATATATAAAACAAAGAAAATATGTAAATTGATTGGATCGATACCGAAGTTTAAATGTTGCGCCAATTGCGTCATACATGCAACATACAAATATATATAGCAAATAGGGTGTAAAAAAAACAAAAATTATGAACAATGTTTATCAAGTTATGAATTGTGCACACAAAATACGTATTTAATCGTCATCACTCACTACACATGCAAGCCATTGCGGCTTTTCCGTTAAAGAAGGAGTTGCATCTGGCATGTGACAATTCGAGTAATCTGCTGCTATGCGATATTCGAGATGACACAAGTCTCGCGGCGAGTAGTGTTAACGTCGCCATGATTATCGCGCTCGTTTTGTGAGCACGTGACGTCACACTAATGACACTCGTCTTTACAGATTTAATACAATCCGCGCAAGATCGTAAGTATGACGTTAGTATTCCCGCAAACGTTCTGACCAAAAGTACGTTAAATGGTAGTACAGTGTTTCATCAATTAAATTTCAAAGATTCACGTTTCGCATATCACGAAATAAAATTATTACAAAATGAAATCGATTTTAATAACCGGTTGCAATCGTGGCATAGGTTTTGGACTCGTGAAACATCTCATACAATTACCGAAACCACCGGAAAATATATTTGCAACTTGCCGTGATGTGAACAAAGCGACGGTAAGATTAACTATGATATTAAATCGGCTAAAATCGGATGACGCAATCGAGACGTACGAATGATAGCAGCGAATAAATTGAATATGTGAAAAACGAGCTTACCGATCGGCGCCATTGAAATTTTCTTTTAATTGTATTTAATTTTTTTTTCCTTTCCTTTAAATGATATCACACTTTAAATATTTTTTTTCGTTAATTAATTTTAACGTTTACAGTTTGACAATTAAAAAAAAGTAATACGAATCGTATAAAGAAAGAACGACTATTAAATCCGCACACTCGAAAAGACTTTAATATACTGAAGTCTGACGAACAAGTTCCGTTAGTTATGTTCTATCGCCATCTGTTGAACAAAGAAAGCGCGAATATCCCCCTACTCCATTCCTTGATCGTTCAACGAATTATATCGAAGTTTTCTTCGGCAGAACACGATGATTCATCCATGGTGATTGTAAAATATTACGCAAGCGCATCGAGGACACGGGATAAAACCACATATATATCGATATATTACCAATAACAAAAATTCGTTGGGTCATTCTTTCTTTCTATGATCATTTTTATATCTTCTGATGTATTATCTTTTAATATCTTATCAACAAAAATGTTAACTCAACATTTTATTATTATCACTATTAATCATTTTACAATTATTTTGTTTTAAACGGATTATTCTTAAATTTTCAAATGCATTATATCTTATTATTAATTTATTAACTATACTGATTTTTTTAGCCATTTTACATTTGTTTTTATTCATAAACATTATACAATAAAGCTGTATAATGATTTAGCTGAAACGATAATATCTTTCTTATTTACACTTCTATATATAATAGAATGCATTATCTGATTTCTTAGCGAGTACGTATATAGATAAGTTGTATTGAGATAATTAGACGATTATATTTTATAATTACGGATTGGTGAAGAAGACGTATATTAATAGATAAGGAAAAGTTTCTAAAGAATTTTTAAATTAACAATTATAACTCAACAATCCTTATATGAATTTTCTTAGAATTTTAAATCATGTGTGAAAAGATTTAATATTTTATTAACAATTTAATATTAAAAAATTAGAAATTTGAAATAAAATTAAATGTGAAATAAATGATTTCTCAAAGTATTATTGTATTAAATAAATGAATAAGTCTCAGTCCGTAAAATAATGTTTATAATTTAATTCATATTATTTGTTATAATAAATAGATTTTTTTTTTAATAGGAGCTGAAAAAACTTGCTGAGAGATCAAGAAACATCCATATCATTGAAATAGGTAAACCGCATACTTTAAATTACTAAGAATTCTAGGTATATCATTTTAAATAGAAATCAGTAAATTCGATGACAATGCAGCTTTACTATGATTTTTAAAAAATATGGATAACGATAGAAATATACAACAGCAATAATTTATATTTTATAATTTTAATATTCAGTTACTTACGAAGAATGAAGTTTTCGTATTTGGAATTTTCATTTTTCGGAGATTCGATATTTTCATTTTCGAGATCGCTCGAATCTGATCCAATTGTTTCTGTTTTATTATGACAAGTTAAACACCATGATTTTTTTATTTTCAATACACGAGATTTCATAACTTTAATATCATGAAGAAAAAAATAAAAATGATATTTCGACTACTTGAAAGTCTTACTATGAATGCGGAAAGGTGTCGTAAATTATAGTAGAATAAAAGATGAGATTACGCCAACGTTACGTTGATCAATACGTATGTACGTACGTATATATATATATATATATATATATATATGTGATTACACTTAAAATTATTTTCTAGAGTTTTAGCGATATCAAGAATTATGTCAATCCATTGTGTCTTATATTGACAATAATTTAATTTATAATAAATTATGTTTGCTTTTTTTTATCTTAAATGCATTAGAATGTTAAATTATTTATTGTTAATATTATTGTAAATTATTTGTAGATTTAGTTAACACAAACAATTATGAAAAGATAGTAAATATTGTCAGAGAAAAAGTAGGATCGGGAGGACTGAACGTTCTTTTTAATAATGCTGGGGTTTCACAAAAATTTTCACGGATTGGTATGGTTAAGGAGGAAAATCTGATAAATAATGTCTTTATTAATACAATAGCTCCAATTATGTTAACGAAGGTGCAGTTACATTTACATTATTAAATATTATCTTGAAAATATATAATTACAACAAGTTGTAAATATTATTATAGGCACTTTTACCGTTGTTAAAAATTGCCTCTAAAAATAATGAGACTGAAAACAATATGAGTATAAACAGAGCAGCTATTATCAATATGTCTTCGATTCTTGGTAGTATTACACTTAATGATCAAGGAGGTTTTTACTCGTATAGATGTAGTAAGGTAGTTAGTTTAAGTAATGTTGCTTTAGTTTTCCATTACCAAATGTGTTTTAACTAATAAACAATATTAATATAATATTTTTTAGGCAGCTCTTAATGCTGCAACAAAATCTATGAGTATAGATTTGAAAGATGATGGGATTTTAGTTATTTGTTTGCATCCTGGATGGGTGCGTACCGATATGGGAGGAAATAATGCACCTATGGATATAGATACCAGTATTTCCAATATTTTAAATGTTATGAAAATGCTCTCAGATAAACATACTGGTTCTTTTATTCAATATGATGGTACAGTTTTACCATGGTAACTTTTAATCCAAAAATATACTAATAAGTATAACACGAATATTGTGCCACACTACCTTTCCATTCGATTATGAAAGTATAGGAAATAATGTAAAATTAAAAAAACATACGTATTATTAAATTATATATATATATAA